TGGATATGTATTATGTGTGAATAGGCATAATGCCAGATTTACTCTGCGCATTTCTGCAGGGTATCTTGAAACTATATTTTATTAGACTAGTATATTTCTGCATGTTTTTCTTTTAAATGTATCTTTGTATGGTTGGTAGCTTTTCCCTTTGGCCCTCTGACAGTGTGTGTGTTGTTTTTCTGAAGCCCACGTTCTCTCTGGAGGTCAACAGCGTGGGTCAGCCCCGTCCTGCTTACCCGGCGTTTTTTCCTTCACAATGGAACGGGCCGATCCTGCAAATCAAAAGCCACTCTGAACTGCCACTTTGGACATATTTGTCTCCATGAATGGGGTTATGGGAAGTATGTGAAGCGGCCTCCAAAGGAGCGATTGGATGACATCCAGATCAGAAACAAAAGGGCGTCGGTCCAAACTGATTAGCACAAAGACTGAACAGCGCGCTCTCATTGTGCATATCGACATCATGTGCATTCTGGGCCTCATTGATCAGACCACCATCAGTCAGCTGGAATTGTTGCTGACCACTTTATTGTCCCTGCTTTAACTCTGCAAAGCACCAATGCATTAATGTCATTGTACCTGATTATGGTTTGTAAAGCCTGTGGAGCTCCTGCAGATTGTTTGTCACAAAGATTTAAGCAGAGAAATAGTGACAGTTATTCTCGGCAGCATCACGCTGCTGTTTCTTCCTGAATCCTCCAGTGTCATCTCTCAACAAAGTGCACAGGTGCTCTCATCTCCTCTCAGCTCCCCAGTTTGAAAGAGATCACAGAGGGCTTTGATGCCCCCCCCACACACACACACACACACACGCTCACCCCCACACCCAAAGCAGAGAGGCCTCCACACGTGTTCACCATACAGATGACCTCAGAGCGACAGGAATGCACCATGTCAGAGCGGAGGAATACTCCGCTCAGAGAGATGGCTCTAACTTTACATCCCAACAGTTAGTTTGAAGAGAAGTCGTGTTTTCACTGAGAGAGGCGTCAGATGTGTGATGTCGTCTGCAGCAGCAGCAGCGCCCATCACTGGGAGCTGATGAGCTTTCCTCAAACACTAAAGTGACGCAGTTCTTCGTTTTCAATATTTCGCTTAAGGATTAGATAACTCGTCTTATGTCATTGTCAAACTACAGTCTGAGGTCACGTCCACACCGAGGTGAAGAAAACCAACAACACTTCAAACATGTGAGGACGACTTTGTCCACACCGTGTTGGATCAGTGTTCCTTGTTGGCCCTTCTTTCCATTTAGTTTCATTCTGTTTTGGTTTTTAAATGATGATACTACATCTTTTAAAGGCTTCAATCTCAGTCATTTAATAATCAGTAGAATCAAAAAGCACCAAAGCTTCCATAAACACATAAACAGTCCTCAGTTATATCTTAAAGCCAAAGCTGCTGCGAGACAAAGAGAGAGCAGAGTCGGTCCTTTCAACTCAAAGGCTAAAGAAAACTGAAGTCTGTCGAGTTGTCTTTGCATCTCATAAAGATGCTCAAGTTAAGTTTCAGCAGAGGAGGGGATGGGGAAGGACACAAACTGCTCATACCACCTGAACTGTTGACAGTTTATCTGAGCAGTGGCTCAGTTGGTAGAGTCGTCTTCTCTCAACCGGAAGGTCGAGGGTTCGATCCCCAGCTGAGCAACATGTCCGATGTGTCCTTGGGCAAGAGGCTTAACCCCAAATTGCTCGGAGGCGGTGTGTGAATGGGATTAGTTACTTCTGATGGATGATACTACATAGCGATCACTGCCATCAGTGTGTGAATGGGTGGGTGTAAAATGCAGTGTAAAAGCGCTTTGAGTAGTCAGAAGACTAGGAAAGCGCTTTATAAGCTCAAGTCCATTTACCATTTTTGTCACACTATGTTCTTGTGCATGGAGTCATGTGATCATTGCTCGTCTTTTTCTACCAGCATGTCTGATATGTAACTATTAAATACCTCCATGTTTCATGTTTCCAGACTCGTCTGACAGCAGTACAATGCGTTGTATTGAGATTCAGAATCAGCCGCCACAGACGGAGTTATATGAGATGAAGTGCTGCTGCAGGTCGCGGCGCAATGCAAACGTCCTCTGATTGGAGCTGCTGGTTTGTGGAGGACTTTCAATGCCGTCATATTCAAAACAGAAACTTCTCTTCATAGCACTCATCGCTGGTCTTTAAGTTTTGTCATCGTCTCGATGCTCTCTGTGTTAAAGGTCAGAGTTGCAGCGATGCGTCTCATCTGCTTTGTCCACATCTACGATGTTGGTTGATCCCCGTCTTTGAGTAGCTGCAGCGTTTAGCTTTCATGCAGACTTAGTTTGGCTGAGCGTCTCCCTTGTGTCCCGTAGGTCTCGATCTTTGACGTTAATTTCCTTATGAACGCAGGAAGGAAGTATCTATATGCTACTTTAAAAATGCAAAACATCATCAACACTTTGTGAAGACGTAGCTTTAATGGATAACATTTTAGAGAACATTTAATGCTGATGGATGGAGCTGAGCCTTTTGGTAATTTGATTAGTGCATATAGGACACGTGCCAAATACGCTCACTTAGTCAGCAGTAGTACACTCTCTCTCTCTCTCTCTCTCTCTCTCTCTCTCTCTCTCTCTGCCTCTCTGTTTCTATCTCCCTCTCTCTCTCTCTCGGACTGGAAGCGCTCTAATTGAGTCAGCAGCTGATTGACCGTTAAGTATACAGACGGACGCACTCAGATGGTGCACCATGAAGCCTCTGAGGGATCCTTTGGCTTCTTTGCTGAAGCATTAGTCCCTCTTTGTCTCTTTTATTTCACTTTCTTCCATATTAATGAGAGATGTTTAACGCTACACTAACTACAGATAAGAACGAAAGACAACAGCAGGATGCATGCAGTAAGTTGGAAAGAGTACATAGAAGCAGCTGCTGCAAGGTGTCATGGGACCTTTTGGACGAAACACCGGTACAGGGAGGGTCCAACACGTGACCACCCCGGTGATGCTGTTGGCTCTGGCTGCCCATCAGTTTGCACGGTTGAGTTGCGGGCGCCGTTAGGGGCCTTGAGTTAGGGAAGGTAGTTGGTACCGGCGTTGTCACTTCCTGAGTCTGAGTCTGTTGAATGTGTGCTGCGGCGGCTTTCACATCTTGAGCACATTTGAATCGTACCTGGGACCATCTCATCGAGCGGACTCAGGACCAGTACCCGACTGCAGTACGAGTACAGCACGTTTGTGTTCACACTGATCAAAAGAACAGGACTTTGAAGTCAAGCGTACTCATGTGAAACCTCCCTTAAAGAACAGTTTCTAAACTTTGAGCAGCAAAGAGCCAAACAGACACACGGCTATATTCATCCGGGACTGTCCTACATATGAAACTGGGCAGAGCTGCAGAACCGGCTGTCAGGACGGAGCGATAGACCTCTGGATGAGTCTGAATCATGACATGAAAAGATGGTTTGATAAGAGGAACTTGTTTATTTGGGACACAGACTCATATTAGCATAGCTTTTGGAATGCAGACAGCAAACGTATTCATCAGTAAACAAATGAAGAAGAAATGAGAAGACAAAGTGAACCTTACCCTCTCTAATCTACTGCATCACTATTTTAAACAATGCTTATACTTAATCAATAATGGTGACGCCGAGGTCAGACTACACGATCTTTCTGTTGGTTACCATGGTAACTGTGTCAGATTCAGGGCCGTAACCAGGGTTTAGAAATGTTTCCTACTGTTTACAACTCGCACAGATTTACTTCCTATTTAGAAAGTAACGATCCCGGCGTGTGTGTTTCATTAAGGTGTGTGTTTGTGTGTCTGTGTGTGTTATTGTGTGTTTGTGTCTGTGTGTGTGAGTGTGTGAGATTTTGTGTGTTTGTGTGAGTGTGTGCGTCTCTCTGTGTGTGTGTGTGTGTGTGTGTGTGTGGCACTAAATCACCTCATTACTCTGTTTCCTCTACTGCTGCTACCTTCCATTAAGAGAAATCCATTAAACATAGCTTCAGACTGAGAGGACACAGAGGAAACAACTCCTGTTTGGTGTGTGTGTGTGTGTGTGTGTGTGTGTGTGTGTGTGTGTGTGTGTGTGTGTGTGTGTGTGTGTGTGTGTGTGTGTGTGTGTGTGTGTGTGTGTGTGTGTGTGTGTGTGTGTGTGTGTGTGTGTGTGTGTGTGTGTGTGTGTGTGTGTGTGTGTGTGTGTGTGTGTGTGTGTGTGTGTGTGTGTGTGTGTGTGTGTGTGTGTGTGTGTGTGTGTGTGTGTGTGTGTGTGTGTGTGTCTGTGTCTGTGTCTGTGTGTGTGTCTGTGTGTCCTGCCGAGGATGTAGATATCACGTAGTGGCTTGAATCCTCAGAAAGGACCTCAGAGGGTAACTTAGCTGCACGTACGACTTGTTAAAGCGACGTCTGCTGTCAGCCCTCTGCTCGTTTAAGTGTCGTTTCAGTCACACTGATGGGGCTGTGTGTGCGTGTGTGTGTCCATTCATTCGAGTTATTTTCAGCCTTAATGAAACACCTGAGCCCAGTTGAGGCAGCTCACATCTCTAGGTGCGTTCAGACGCCTCGTGGCTGCACTGAGCTCCTCTGTGTCTCTGTCACCACCTCTCACTCATTCACGTCCGTTCATTGAATTCACAAAGAGTGCAGGTTAACCTCAGCACAAAGTTGCACAAATATGTTGGAAACATATCGGCAATGAAACTCTGCTGTCACCTCCGCTGCTCTCTTTCTGTTTGCATGAGACATAAACAGAACTGTTGGTTCTTCATTAGACGACAAAAGGACGAGAGAAACGACTGCTGCTCTCTCTCTCTCTCTTTCTCTCTGTAGCAGCTTTTTGGTTAAGAAACAACTCATGATCAATACTATCGAAAAGCATGAACATTTTGTATCGGCCTGTATGTGATTAGACGGACTAGATTTGACGCTAACGTTTACACCTGAGGTCTGATGATGATCTCCGCCTCTAAATGAATTCAGCCTTCAGGTTTTGGCTCCTCCCTAATCCTTTTCTCTCTCCGTGTGTCTCCTCAGAGATCCGGGCCCAGTTGGTGGAGCAGCAGAAATGCCTGGACCAGCAGACGGATATGAGGGTCCAGCTCCTGCAGGACCTGCAGGACTTCTTCAGGAAGAAGGCCGAGATCGAGATGGAGTACTCGAGGAACCTGGAGAAGCTGGCCGAGCGCTTCATGGCCAAGACTCGCAGCACTAAGGACCACCAGCAGTACAAGTGAGGGGACGCCGTCCTTCTGTTTTTGTCATGTGTGTGGTGTATGGGCTTAAAGAAGTGATGGTTTCTGAGCAGTCAGAGGGAAGTCGTTCTGGATTTAAAGTCCCATGTTGAAGGATTTCTGTTCTCATGAGATTAAAGTGCTGATGAGCCGTTTCAGTCTTCAGTCATGTGACGACAGAAAGCCGCTCAGTGGTGATGCTTTACTTTCATTTCTCTTGATTCACTTCATCACGACTCTGATTACAAGGCGGCATCTTTTGTGGGATAAAAAAAACTGAAGTCGAGGAAAAATCTCAACTCGTCATATCACTAGGAGCTAATGATAGAAACCCCAAACAGCTGACCTCTGTGTCAGCTCCTCCTCTTCCTCTTTCCCTCTCGCCACAGGGTTTAGCACGCTGTAGTTTTTGGCCTTATTGCTCTGCTGGGGTGTGCTCATGGAAAAAGCAGACATTAAGATATTGTTTGAACTTGTGGTGGGAACGAAAATAAAACTTATGTTGGTCCTCGCGTCTGTAACCCGCTGCTCGCCGTCTGACGCTCTAATGGCTCTAACAGCTGTGTGTGTGTGTGTGTGTGTGTGTGTGTGTGTGTGTGTGTGTGTGTGTGTGTGTGTGTGTGTGTGTGTGTGTGTGTGTGTGTGTGTGTGTGTGTGTGTGTGTGTGTGTGTGTGTGTGTGTGTGTGTGTGTGTGTGTGTGTGTGTGTGTGTGTGTGTGTGTGTGGCTGGTCAGCGACTCTGTGGTCTTCATGGCGTGATTTTCAGTCTGGTCACTTCATTTACGAGTTGAACCGCTTGGCGAGGCCCCGGGAGGATATTCTTTAAGTAAATAAAGACGTCTGACTGACATTAACAACCTTCCTGTGGGTTTCAAATCACCTGAACTTTATTTTTATATTCTTCAAAACAAAACACATGAACAGTTCGGCTTCTGTGCTCTCCACACTCGGTTGTTTTCTCTGGACTGACGTGTCGGGGTGTGAAAAAAGTGCGTTTTCAATCTGTCACCTGAAGCCCTGTTTCCTGTGGTCAGCTTGTGTCAGCAGCAGAACTGAAGTTAAGTATTCAAAGAAGAAATGTAGAATCTGTCTGTAATCAGTCTGGACAGGCTGCGTTAAAAAGAGCCCACGCTGAGACTCTCAGTGGAGCTGTGTGTGTGTGTGTGTGATTCTCTCTGCTACTATCCCTGCCCACCACAATGAAAATGATCTCCGAGTTGACGGTAGTCATGACGACAGGTTGAAACCGACCTGAGACGCCTCTACAACATTCAGACTGAAGGCGAGACGTCACAGTGGGGGTAAATATGGCAGCTACAAACAGCGATCTGAACAGGGCTAGTGACTGCTTGTGATTTGTTAGGTGGAGGTTGTTTCTGTATTAGATGGACAATGATGAAATCGTGCAACAGACTGTGGATCATCTTAGATTTATTCAGCCATGGTCAGACAACAAAGAAACACACATGGCTGACAAAGTGCAGACCATCGTCGACCCAAGCTGACCAAGATCTCACAATCATTGTCTCCAAGTCTTCATCTTCACAGTGTTGCTTATATTCTGCTAGAAGGTACAGCCCACAAGTTCATGGCTGCTTTGTTACATCTTTAAAAGGTTGTCTGTCCCCCCCCCCCCCCCCGCCGCCGAGAGGAAGAGCCTCGATCATTTGTGTTGCAGTGGATGTTTGCAGAACACACGCACGCATGCACACACACAACCACACACACCACACACACACAAATGAACAAATACAGGCAAACATTTCCTTCTGTCTCTCCGGGTCTTTCTTAAATACACACACACACACACACACACACACACACACACACACACACACACACACACACACACACACACACACACACACACACACACCGATCACTGTATTATGCAGAGTTTGTTCAGGGAGGCACCGTGAGATCATTGAATAGTTAATGTGGTCAAAGCCACAGCTGGGATCAGTGTGAAAAGTTTCTTCTTAAAGGACTTCCTCTTTCTGTCTGAGAGGATAAAAAGAAGACACCAGCAGACGTCACTGTCTGCTCTACATTCACCGTTTGTGTTAGAACAAGTCCAAACTGGAATAACTATTGCTCTGATATCTTTATGAATTAACCGTGACGACGCCGGGCTTCACCAACACGCAGTGGTCGAGTCAAGCAGAAGAATGTTTTGTTTTGGTTCATCGTGTCCCTCTCATGAAGCTCTGGTTGTTCTCCATTAAAGACACAAAATAGATACATAGATGTACTTTATTCATCCCACATTTAGAGCAGCTGCAACAGGCGCCAGAATCATCAATCACACAACAACAAGCGAAGACATATGATCTGATTACATATGATGCTTTACAGATCACATCATATGAACTGTAACCATCAAAGTTAAAGCAGCAGTCATCAGTTTGTTCTTTAAGGGCACACTATGCACAGTTGTCCTGTACCGTGCTTTGGCATGATTGTCCCCCCCCCCCCCGCTGGCCTGCACTCACACTGCTCCAGGACTCACCGGGCCTGAGCATGGTTACCTCTGTGCATGACTCTGTAATACAACACATACATGGCTTTATGTGGTCATGAGGCGTGCTTAGTTTACAAGACAGGCGTACTCAAAAAAAATAAAGAAAATAAATAAAGAATGAAGGCTGTCCTCGTTTTCTACCCGTGCTTGTTCCCCAGCATGAACTGTACCGTGCTCAAGCACATCTCTCTGAAGCTCACCATGGCCAAGGAAGTGTACTCGCACTAGTCATAAGAACTGGACTTTAGGGGTGAAGCATGCTAAGTCACGGTACAGATTGCCTCATGTGAGTGCGCCCTAACCCAAGATCAAACATGTTCTTATGCCAGATGTTTTTTTCTTTGTCTTTAGTTTGAGTGCTTCAAACGGAGCTGCTGTGATGAGTTTCAGCCTTTTTTCTGACTTTAAAGTTACATTTATAAATCAATCGATCACTCAGGCTTTGGCGCCCTGTTGCCCACTTTCCAAACTGTAACCTCCCTCCTTGTTAACGCTCGGTCCAAAACGCCTACGTTTCTGTTGGATGTCAGTCAGTCGCTGTGCTGCAGCCGTAGAGGCCGGCGTCGCCACAGCTCATGAATAAAAGATTTGATCAGTCACTGGAGGACTTTGACATTCTGCCTCTGATGCAGATAAGAGCTCCTGTTTCAATAACCCTGCATACTGAAGAGGTAATTATCCGTTATGGTCGCCTTCCTGCTCCTGTGTGAGAGCGCGGACGCTGCCCCGGCGAGTCCCGGAGTGAAGCCGCATTAATGAACAGAACACACACTTATACACACGTTCATGTGAGGCAGTACGTTCGCATTGGACTTTAGTTTCAGAGGCTTTCACACCTATGTTTTCTTCTACCCCTCGGGGGGCCGTCTGTCTGCCTGTGAGTCCGTCTGACCCAGTTCCTGTCCTGGCTCGGGGGGGGGGGAGGAATGACGAGATTGAGAGATTTTCCTGTCATTATGTGGGGTAAGCAACTCCCCGAAGTGATTCTGTCGTCACTGCCTGTGTCAGTGCCCCCGCTTGTTTTCTCACTCCGGCCTCTTTTCTGTGCAGGCGTGCAGTTTGAACGAGTCGGTCCAACCTCCAGCAAACACACAGGCTCCTTAATGAACTTTTTATTGGGTGACATCACTGTTTCATTCTTTAGCTTTTACGAAATGATCTTTACTTTCTAACAGGATTATCACGTTACCCAGTTTTAAACTTCCAAAAACCCAACGATACCTGTTTGGATACCATGGCAACAGAAATGAAAGTCCTAAGCAGCCGATTATGGGTCATTTCATTCCTTGTATGTTTTTTTGTTGTTTCTTTCCAAGAGGCGTAAGAGTAACTGTTGGATCTTTATGGCGACGGGATGGGAATCAAAACCTGGTTCTACATTTTTCAAATTTCAACACCATTTGAGCTTATCGATTCTGCCATCGAGTCTTGTTGGTCATGTTATATCTGGAGAGTCACGTATGTGGCGGCTCAGTGGTAGAGTCTGTTGTCTCTCAACCAGAAGGTCGGGGTTACCGTCAGTGTGTGAATGTGTAGGTGTGACCTGCGGTGTAAAAAATGCTCAAGTCCATTAATGTCTTTAAAATCAAGTCATTGGTGCACAAGCATATGTCCGTAGTCTAACCATGTTTTTGAATAGAATGTGGGAGGAAGTCTAAAGTTCGGCAACATTTTACCAAAGAAGAAGAAGATGAGGAGGATTTCAAGTGCACTTAATGATTGTCATTATAGCAGGCAGTTAAAGTCCTGATCGAAAACTGTCCGGCTTCACCTGCAAATAATCTGTGTTTCCTGGGGATGATTTTTATTTCCAAGTAAATGAGCTAAAGTTTTCATAACTGGGACACAATCGTCTCAGATGGAAAAAAAAAAAACCTGCAGATGACTTCTTCGATCATCAAAGAGGTCATTTTATAAACGTCTGCAGAGGCTAAACATGATCAGGGGACACCTGGACATAATGCGTGTGAATATGAGAAAGTGAGCATTAATAAGTAAAACCATGCGCACACACACACACACACACGAGCTGCTTCACATCTCAAGATTCAGTGCCATAGAAGTATTGCATGCTGCTGATACATAATGCAGAAAGGGTTTATGGAAATTGCTCTTTGACTGTGTGTGTGTGTGTGTGTGCTGCTGTAGCTCTGCAATCGCTTCACTTATTTTCTAACTCACTCTCTCCCTCTCTCTCTCTCTCCCCTCTCTCTCTCTCTGCACGTGTCCTGGAGCTGGGGCATGTGGCACCAGTGCATCACTCAGCTTTTTGCAAAGTCTTTTTTTTTTTTTTTTTTTTCATGATGTCTTTGGAAAACGGCCGTGATCTCGAATGCTCCCGGATGTTTTTCATGTCAGCGTGTTTGGCTCTGCTTTTATCAAATGTCGTTTGCTTCCTGTTTTTGCAGAGTCTCGGGAACATTTCAGCTGGTTGGAATGTTTGCATCGGTTTTTCATTTTTTAAACATGTTTCGTTTTCTGCTCGCGCTGCAGATGCTGTGTCAGGACCGAAGGCCGGTTCAGGGCCGGGTCACTCAGCGAGTGCAGAGTTTCACCTGTTGTGTTGACAAGTGCTGCCTGTCTATGCAAACTAACTGTGTGTGGGGGGGGGGGAAGCACAGGCGAGTCTCCAGATGGTTCCTGCAAGACTTGACCCCGGACCAACCATAAAACCTCTCCCTAACACACACACACCCATGCATCAACAATACAAGCTCATTTTCATAGCAGGCAGGAGGAATGTTACAGATTAACCCAGAGGAAGTCGTCCTGCAGGCCTGTGCTTACGCAGGGCCCCCGCCTGCTCCGGCCTGGACAATGTCCTTCATTTAGCATGGAAGCAGCCGGCACACGGCACAGGAAACAGCTCCCAGGCTCCAGGATTCTACTCTTTTTTTTTTTTTTCTGCACTCAGATCTGTCGTACTGCGGCCTCTCTTTCCCTGCTTGTCTGCGTGACGTTCATAAGACATTCTACTTTTCAACTTCACTTACAGAAACATCCCCTGGATGTGCTCCTTCTTCATTCCATTAAGTGTATTAAAAGCCTGTGACACACTATTTCCTGGTTGTAGGAAGTCACTCTCTGAAAGCTCTGCCCCAGAAATGTCATAAATATAAAGTATTTCCAACTTAACTGTGCAGTCCTGATATATGACGGGCCGTATGTAGGACATTTAGCACCAAGGGAGGCCTGTGACGCAGCTCTGCTTCTATATCAGGCCGGAGTGCACATGAGGTGTTTGTAGACTTCCTGCCCGTCGAGTATCTGCCACGATCTGCCTGTTAAAATAACAGATATTGTCTTATAAAGGAGGGCTGAGACTCTGACATGGACACACACACACACACACAAATGTTCCAGTGCAAACAAACGGGGACTTCAGAATGCCTACCTGCTCTATTCTGCAAGAACACCAACCTATGGAGGGGTTCTTCTTTAGAAATGCTTTGTGCATCTAAATGAGCAGACAGGGTTTATAAAACAACCTGTTCTCTACACACTGTTTCCTCTTTCTAAGTCTTGAATGGAGATGTTCTGACATCTTCTTTGCTTCCTGAAACTAATGTAGACACCATCAGGATTTAAAAAAACAAATATTATTGGTAGAAAAACTCTGATTTCTGTCTCTTTTGGTGACTTTGGTTAACGTTGTATTCTTTATGCAAGGCACCATACCTACGTCCCTGTGACCCCCCACACCCACACCCCTCTGTTCTGGCATCAGAGGTGTGTGTGTGTTCATGTCTGAGTGTGTGTTTGTATGTGGAGGTCCAGCATGTCGTGCTTCTGCGACACCACAAAGTCACAGACTGGGGCACTGATGTGACACCGCTGCAGAATGACTGTGAATAGACAAAGATGTAATAGAGGTGGAGCTTCGATAAGCCGCTAGAAGGGAAATCTGTATAGAGCGCCATACTTTAAAAAACTAACACCCATATTTGGCACCAGCTGTACGATAACTTTTACATCGTCTTGCATACTAGCTGTTATCCAAAATCAAATTGATGACGGCTTCAGAGGCTGAAACTGAGTCCAGTATCTCTGTCAGTAAACTTGTAATAACATGTGACAATGAGACTTGAGGTTTTGGCCTTTGCAAAAACGTCATTTGACGCCTGACTGTTTCCTTGTGTTGTTTAGGAAAGACCAGAACCTTCTGTCCCCGGTCAACTGTTGGTACCTGCTGCTGAACCAGGTGAGGAGGGAGAGCAAAGACCACGCCACGCTGAGCGACATCTACCTCAACAACGTCATCATGAGGTTCATGCAGATCAGTGAGGACTCCACACGGCTCCTCAAGAAGGTGAGGAGTGTCCGATATTCAAACCGTGGCTCATCGAGGTGTTCATCAGGGCAGACTCTGGTCACCATGTAGAATAAAAAGTGTCCTCTACAGCTGCAGCGACTGCTGGGGATCCTTTTGAATGACCACAAGAGATGTGTTCAATTCGTAGACTCTTTTACCAACAGGACATTTAAGTGTTTGAGCTAAAAGTGAATCCAACAGAAACTAATATCTAACTAAGCAGACTGAAAATAAATCAGAAGATATTTCAAAATAAAATGTCACCGCCTGTGGAGCCAGCTGGGACTCTGTGAAGTTTAGTCTGTGGTCGGTCTTTCTGTCCTAAAAGCACTCCAGCGTTGGCTATCGCATCACATCGTACATGATCGCACGCTCGCTGTCCACACGGCATCCGTTAAATATTAACTTCTCTGCTCTTTGAATTTTAGTTTCCCCTTGTAAACAGTATGACATCTAGTGCTTTTATTTTGAAGGTGGGCAAACTGATGTGTGGGGCTTTTATTTTGAAGGTGGACAAACTGATTTGTGGTGCTTTTATTTTGAAGGTGGATAAAACTGAAGTGTGGTGCTTTTATTTTGAAGGTGGACAAATTGAAGTGTGGTGCTTTGTATTGACGAGCTGTTGACTCAAATCACAACACTTAAAAGTGCGTTCATAAACTACTCGCTGTGAGCTGAAAAAAGTTTTTCTCCGGTTTTGCAACAGGTCAAAGGTCAACATTTCAATCATGATGTGGACATTATTAATGCTCCACTATCTCCACTTTGTACAACAAGCTAACAAGCGTCTGTTCCTTGTAGAGCGCCCTCCTCTGTCGTTCCTCGTCCGTCTACGCGAGCGACAGAGAGGAAATAGAAACGGGTCGTTGTTGGGGTAAAAACATTCTGGCGTGCATTTGACCCTCTAATAGAAACCAATAAAATCAGATTTTGTTGTTGACGCTTGCTGGTGTCTCATGTTGTTAGGACATGGTGTTAGTTACTGTATCTATCTGTCTACCTAGTTAAAAAAGCTGCCCACATGAAATATGCACAGTTATGAGGAATGTGGAGTCGGCTTTGCACGCCATTTTCCCGTCAGGATGAAGTTAAATCTATCCGTCTTTTTGCACGATTCAAGACACTCCAAAGGCTTCTTCTAAGCTAATGCTACATGATCCTACATGTACAGGCTGTGTTCATGTTTCTTTTGACTTTGTGCTGTAACTCGACCTCTGCTGAAGGTCAGATGTGTCTTTTCTTTGATCAACAAAATCCAGAAGTTTGAAGTCGCTTAAAACTCAATCCAGATTTTTCACGGCGGTCAGGTCGGTCGGCAGAGTCTCCGCTCGCTCGTGTTGCATAAACAGACTTTCACTTTCAATTAACTCCCTCATGTTGTATGTGTAGCTACATGTTATGCAGGATATTATATTCAGTTGGATGTTTGATCGTCTAGTGAATTAAAACGATGCACAGAACCTCGGCTGCCACAGTTTCACATCAGTGATCCTTCACTCTCCCGTCTGAAGACTGCGGCTTCGTGGCTCAGGCCGAGTCTCCGCTGCTTTTTTTCCACCACAAAGACGACAACTCCCTAAAAGATTATGAGCTCCTATGCTGCAGGAGTCACATGAACTCACCACAGGCCCAAATTACAAAGTGGCTTTCCTTCAGAGGAGCGCCTTTGTGTCAGATTAACATGTGCAACTCTCCTCTCGTTCTTATTTTTCTTCCCCTGCGAACCTTCAGCCCCATCTTTCCGGATTCTAAATTAGACTCATGTAGTGGTTTCATGTGATTGTCGGTGGGCGTGGTCTTTGAACGCTCATCCCCGACCCCCAGCATGCACACAGGAAGCTGCTGCAGCCTTTTCCTTTTGATACTTTTTCAAATCTTTTGGTTCTACTAATGAGACCAGATGTGGAACAGACAGATTCATGTTGCAGATGTTCCCCTCGTTTCCTCCCCCTGACTCCACACTTTAATGACAGACTGCCTTCAAACTGATTCATATTTGTGGACAGTTTCAGGACAGACTCTCGCTGAAACCTTTTTGAGTTGATTATTCTCATATTTCCCCTCACAGCGTGACGTTTTCCCCCTCAGCCGGGAGCGGAGGTAAAGCAAAGCCCTGTTCAGACCGTCGTTTCAAACCACGATATTTAGGTCCCTGTGATGTAACACCTTCAATGATGAAGCTCCCGCTCTGTTGTGCTTTTGCAATGCCGAAACACAATGTGACTTCACAGACCAGGTCACCGATGTTACGTCGTCATGGAAACAATATGAACGTACAAAGACTTGATGACGCCTGAGCTTAGTTACTGCAATTTTGCACACAAATAAAACAGTCTGAAAATGGCTTAAAAACGACGTTTCAGAAATCCAAGATTGCATTTTCCAAGCGGGCTGTAAAGAAAATAAGTCAGCTGTTTTCATTCACACACACAGCTCTACCTGAACATTTCAGGAGTTTTGTGTAAAGTGTGAAAGCACCCTGTGTCTGAATACACTACTCCCCTCCCTCGTCCCGTCTGCTCCACCTGCACCCCTCACTCGTCCCGTCTGCTCCACCTGCACCCCTCACTCGTCTCGTCTGCTCCACCTGCACCCCTCACTCGTCCCGTCTGCTCCACCTGCACCCCTCACTCGTCTCGTCTGCTCCACCTGCACCCCTCACTCGTCCCGTCTGCTCCACCTGCACCCCTCACTCGTCCCGTCTGCTCCACCTGCACCCCTCACTCGTCCCGTCTGCTCCACCTGCACCCCTCACTCGTCCCGTCTGCTCCACCTGCACCCCTCACTCGTCTCGTCTGCTCCACCTGCACCCCTCCCTCGTCCCGTCTGCTCCCCCTGCGTCATTATTGCTGTGGAATGTGAAATACCTAACCTCATTGTGTAACAGTGGTCCCTTTAAAATTCCTCAGTGGATCCAGGTGACAGTGTGCAGACAAACGGCAGACTGGTGGGAGGTCCAGGTTCATAGCAGACCTGAGACTCGGCTCGGCCTCTAATTAAATCCTGCCTGAGTCTTTGATCTGTGCAGAGCCGTAGAACGAGGCCCGCCAACAACAGAGAAGTTTCCCCGTGTAACGCGGGCTCCATCACAGCTTCCAGGCGACAGCTGTACGGCTGTCATCCTTCCAAGCACATCAAAGACCCCTGTTTTTATTTCCTTGTTCGTTTGGGTCTCATGCTGTGAGGTAGAACAGCGGAGGAGGACTCAGGGGCAGCCCGACGTCATCGTCAGCAACCTCCAGTCGAGCTGTTTGTTCCTCAACATCATGATGTGCACACAAACCTATCGACACCTGATTCATATACCAGGACAACACAAATAGAAGTCATAAAGACCCTTTATTGGGTTTGTTTTTAATGAGCAGAAATTGCAGCACACTCTGTCTTTGTCTCTTTCTGCCTGGACAGATCTCATCACATGGCTTCAGTTTTCATTATTCATACAGCCGGCTCTCTGTTTATCCTCGGCCTTGTTTTATTTATGGAAGTCACGTTCTGTGGCTGAAGCTACAAGGTGGATCTTTCTCTCTCAGCCTCGGGCAGTCTTAACTTTTCCACAGACGGGGAAAGCTTGTGTTTACTTTACAATTAGCATTTCTTAAAGAGGACACGGTAGTATTTCACACGAGGAAAAAGCACAGGTGTGAATAATGACACGATGGCTGGAGTCCTATTGCTGGGAATGCCTGTCTGCACGCACTCTCACACGGCATGGCTTACTGGGCCGTTTTAAAATAACATTTCTAATGTTGTACCACCTGTGATGTCAAATGTAAAAAAAAAAAAAAAAAAAGGTTCATGCATTTTCAGGTGGAATAGAGTCCAGATCATGGTTTTTATTTTTGCACTCGGTTATGCCGTGTATCACCAGAAGAAACTTCCATCCATACATTATTGATTTTCCCGCTTCCCCCTTTCTCTGTCGCAGGAGCCGAGCGAGACATAATTAGCTTAGCTAGATCCACTGTCTCCCATTCACTGAGATGTATCTGGTGTTAGCTGACCAGAGCTGTTGATTTTTTTGAGACCAAAGAAGAGAAGAGGACGAGACTCAGCAGCAGGAAAACGGCCAGATCAGGCTTTTGTAATATGGGGTCTAATGGGAAATGACTCCCTTTTTATGAGCCGGCCCTCTAAAGGCCACTCAAGGAACTGCAGCTTTTGGCTCCTGCATGCTGACTGGCTTTTCCGTTTCAGAGGTTTCTGCTCGACCTCTTGAATCAGTTTATTTTCTAAATGCAGACACATGAGAATGATATCGATCTCTGCGTCTCTCTCTGATCTCTGAAGCAGCTCACACACATCTCTCTCTCTCTCTGCTGTGTGCTGTATCTGTTAAACAGTGACAGAGCACGGAGCGCCATGCAGGCACAGGCCCCTCCGGGTTCACTACTGACATCTCTGTACCATGATTAATGTCAGCGGCATATGAAACCCGCCACTTTTCCGTTTCAGAGGTTTCTGCTCGACCTCTTGAATCAGTTTATTTTCTAAATGCAGACACATGAGAATGATATCGATCTCTGCGTCTCTCTCTGATCTCTGAAGCAGCTCACACACATCTCTCTCTCTCTCTGCTGTGTGCTGTATCTGTTAAACAGTGACAGAGCACGGAGCGCCATGCAGGCACAGGCCCCTCCGGGTTCACTACTGACATCTCTGTACCATGATTAATGTCAGCGGCGATATGAAACCCGCCACTCCTCAAAGGCTGCCTCGGTTTCTTCCTCTGAGGTGGTTTCATGTTTCTCATGTGGTTTGAAAAAAGATGGAATGAGCTTAAAAAAAGGGGGGAAACCCATTTAAAGAATCCTTTGAATGAATTTAAGCTGAGATGGAAACCCCCTACACTGAGACTCACTACAATCACAGGTGTGAGTAAATCAGTGATATCTGTTACACGACACAGTGTTTGGTGAAGAGCCGTTATTGCTGGTGCCTGCACAGTGTGTGTTGTGTTCAGGGACACTGTGAAAGCTGGGATTATTCCTCAATTC